GGTATGGCCGGTGCGGGTATACGTAGGTGAGTCGTTCGAACGAGAGAATGTGTTCGGAGAAGTGGTCGAAGATGTCTGCGTGTTCGAAGGTTTCGAAGCGTATGACGGGGTATGCTGAGTCGATCTCGTAGCCTCGGTGGCTGTCCTGACTTCATCGAAAACAAAACTGGAATAGGTATGGGAACGGAGAGATACGTAGCCGCGAGAACTGGGTCTTCAGGATGATATGTTGGCATAGGCAGAAATGGACGGGGTATCGTTTTCGAAGTCGATCACAAGTGCGACTTGCTCGTCATCGTCGGCCTGAACTACGTGTTCAAAAGTCCCGACTGCCTCTTCTGAAAAACCTCTTGGAACTTCGGACGTCCTCGAGGCATCGTAGGTACCGTGATCTGTTCGGACGTGTTCGGGCACAACAGGGTGATGGTTTGATTCTCGTCGGCGAAGTTCTTCACCAGGCTCTCAGTGATGACGTCGAATGGTCGACCTAGCAGCACGTCGTACGACGCGCGCTTGATGACGTGAATCTGGAGATACAAGGTGATCGGGCCGACTTGACATGGTACGTTCGAACAAGGCCGAGCGAGCGGTCGACTCCACCGTTCGCGGATTGCATGCTGAGGACGATGGTCGGGTCGAACGATAAACCGAGATGATAGCACAGTGCTTCCGACATGCAGATGACCTGCGAACCGGGATCGAGAATGCAGGCTACCTTCTCCTTACGATCGATCGTGAGGTCGATCGTTCGAAGCGAGTGGGACTCGGCCGCGACAGTAAGTTCGCTAGGTATCGCGCCTCGAGGCAACACCCTAGGTACGTCTCGTACGAATCTGGATGATGGTAGCGTCCGGATCAGCTCGTTGTCGTGGCAGTCTACTAACGCGGGTCGTGTGTCGGAAGTTCTTCGAACACAGCCATGTTCGTCGAGTCGGGTTCGAGTCATGCGTCACTCTTCGAGGCGTCACAGCTTCGCGATAGCGGTTCGAAGCTCGGGCGAGATGCTAACAGTCCTCGATGGTCAGCGGTACCGTTGGCGTGCTCATCGACCGCTTGAAGACGGACTCGGCTAGCTGGGCCTGAACGACAGGTGCAAGATTCGTATACGAGCCGTCCCGGTTCTTAAACTTCGTAGGCGCTGCTCCAAGTTTCGGGTCGTCGGCGGTGCATAGGTCGCGTCCCGAACATTTGCGAAGGGATGGATCGGACTCTCCTTGTCGGGCACTGACTGCGCTGATGGCGCCGAGACTGACTGTGCCGGTGGCGCCGAAGCCTGAACACTCGGCCTAGACTCTGCAGGTGGCGTCGGAGCTCTCGGTGGCGGACCTGCACGCTCCACACTCTTCGAACGCGTGGTTGGGGTCTCGATCGGTGCTGCTTGTTGACTCGACACAGGTGGCGAGGCGAAGCGTACGGTACGCTCCTTCGAAGAGCCTCGGGAGTCCGGAGCTCGTGACTTATCGGTGGGCAAGTTCGCAGGACGGGCCGTGGAACGCTGCGGCCTCTTGTCAATCATGACGCCGTCGAACACGTGCTTCTTCCGCTGCTCTTGGGCGTAGACTTCCGTAATATGTGACAACTGGTCTCGCATACGTTCGAGGGTCTCGCCAATGTCTAAGGCGTACGTCGCAGTCGGTGGGGCCTCGATCGCTTCATAGAGTAGCTGGGAGGTAGTCGAACCTTGCGTGGCACCGCCCGAACCGTTCGAAGTGTTCGCGTTAAGTCCGACTTTGCCGGTGCGGCGCGCGTACTCATAGATGGCGTCGCGGAGGGTCTCGCCCTCTCTCCTGCTCATGAATCGACCGTCGAACGACACGACCTTGCCGTCTGGGTTCCTCCGGCACAAGCCCTTCTTGGCGTCGTCTTCGAACATTTCGCAGTCGTTGATGCGACAGCCCGAACGACCGCAGTAGAAGCAGTGAGGGCCGTCTCTACCACCAGGTGGTCCGGGTGACCGACTCCTAAACTGCTGAGCCTCGAGAGTCTTGATCAGCGTCTGCAAGACTGGTAGGAGGTCTTCGTTCTTAACGCCGGACGAATTAGATGGTGCGACGTTCGAAGGACCTGAGGGGCGTTCGAAGATTGGACTATGACTTGCTGAAACGTCGAAGCGGGGGTAGGGCCGTCCAGGACCCATTGAGCGGCGATGTAGATCTGCGCGAAGGTCCATGGCTTGCGTCTCGAGTGATCAGGGTTCTTCATGAACAAGCGTTGTTCGATCGGTCCCCAAAGCGCTGGGGGAAAGCCTTGCTGGAACCTTCGATCTTGTTCGAGCGTCGAGAGGGAACCCTGAGCGATTAGGTACTCGGAGATCATGTAGAAGTCACGGTAGTAAGCGGCGAGGTCGAGCGCGTTACTCAGACCAAGCCTCTGACGTTCCTGGACCACCTTGTCGAGGTCGTCCGTCGAATACTTGTGTTGATCGTCGGCACCCGGGTAGAGTGTTCGAAGAGCTGTCTTGAACTCGTCGTACGTCTTCGTAACGTCCTTGTACGTCGGCTGCATCATCCACAGGTCCGAGACCCGTATCGGCGGGTACCGAACGGCCCATGACTTCTTGTCCGCGTTGGTGGTGATCCCGCATCGCGTGAAGTGGGTCTCGAGATCCTGGAAGAAACGGTTGAACGCGAAGGGCTCTGACTCATCAAAGACCGGCGCAGTCGAGTGACCGCGGGCAGGCATGGAAGCCGCCTTCGAAGCTTGTGCTGCTGCTTCGGACATGTTCGTATCGGTGTTCGGAGGGTTCGAAGGATTTGGCGGATCGTTCGAAGGGTTTTGGTTGTCGCTGGTCGAAGTCCTTCGCGGCTCGGACGACTCTGGTCCTGGAGGGGCCAACGACGCTCTGCGACGAGTGGGTAAAGGTAGACGTGAGGTGGTAGCTCCACTACGCGTCGTGATCGGCGTGGCTGAAGTGAGATCCTCTCCTTCGAGAGGTGGCGACGGCGTTAGGGACGGTAGAGGAGAGCCAAAGACTCGAGACTCGAGGCCGTCTGAAAGCGAGAGTCTTCGAGCACGTCTGGGCTGGGAGGGGGTAGTAAGGACTTGGTCTCGAACGGAGCGTCCTTGATCGTCGTGATCGGGGACAAGCTCGATGTGTTCGGACGAAGAGGGGATAGTCGAAGGTCCTGGTAGAGGGTTGCTACGCCTGCGAAAGGCGGTGGCGGATCCGGGACCTAGACGACTGTCGATAGCGAGTGCGAGAAGAGGACTTTCGTAGTCTCGGTAGTCTTCAGGGTTGACGTCGAAGTTCCGACGCGGCGGAATCTTGTTCTATATCCCCCTCGCGGTGGGCTCCAAGATGACGCGACCGAAAAGAACACAAAAGCCACACAAAAACCCAACCGTGAGGTCGAGCAGTGGTATGCGAGGCCTCTGCGTCTATGAGATGTACGGGGGACTGTACAGTGGTCTAGTTAAGAAGGAGGAGGACGGACAAGACTCCGAACGACGTGGGAGAGCTTCGAAGATGTCGAAGACTGTTCGAAGACGAGGGCTAAGCCTCGAAGGTAGGAGGGGGAGTTTCGACAGACGTGTCGAACGAACGGTGACAAGAAAGGCGAGCGACGGCAGGAGGAGAAGGGTAGAGCCTCTCGGGGCAACTACGAGCTGGCGAACGTACTGGCGAACTGACTGACTGACTGACTGGCTTCGAACGTACTGACTGACTGGCGAACTTGCTGACTTCGAACGTACTGGCTGACTGACGAACCTCGCCGGTGCGAGGTGAGATTGAGAGGGAAAGGGGGTCTCTGAGATTCGAAGGGAACAAGTCCCAGAGTATATACAGGAAAATACGGTCCGAAGACCAAGAGAGCCAAGGGAAATTGAAGAAATGATGAAGGAGAGTGATAAGGTAAACAGCCAATCGGAGAGTGTCACAACGCTCAACCCGGACCTACTAACACATGGGAGAAACCAACTTGGCCTTCCGCAAGTTCCGAATAACGGGCGACCGTCCCCGAACGGCGAAGGTCATAACCGGAGCCGGTGACAGTCCTCGAAGATATGAGACAGCCGCAGGAGTTCGCCTGACTTACACGAACATGCCGCACCTCGACCCAACTTCCGAAGCGTATGCTGCCCGCTACTACCGCCTCCTCGAAGTCCTCAAGACCGAGGGACTTGTCGAACCGCGATACGATGCCAACAGTCCCGGAGAGTGGCTGGCTTGGGCTCACGGAGTCCGTTGGATGATCGTACGTGCCTCCGAACTTAGACTATCCTTCGAACCATCGTACCGACCTTCGAACAGCGCTTCTTGTTCGAGTCCCGTAGCCGGGCTATCCTACTAGCGAACGATACGCTTCCTGCTCCCAGGTCGTTCCCCGAGATCGACGAGTTGATGCGTTACCTCGACGAGGTCTTTCACCGCGATGGCAACCAGGGAGACATCCTAGGTTCGCCCTACCCTACGATCGCGTGGTCCGAGACCTTGGTACTGCTCGAACAAGTCAACCAGGCCGAGCGTCGTCCCCTCGCGAACCCGCAGTATCAGCGCGAGTCGTTGATCTTGTCCGACTTTCGCCAGCTGCCCGACAACCTCGAGTCCATGGGTCGAGCGATTCACAACATCGCAGTTGACCAGCGCCGCACGCACGGCACCCTCGTCGGGTTGCTCGAAAGCCTACTCGAGCGCGTCAACACTGACCGTGGCTCCGACACCGGCCCGTCTGTTCGTAGGGGTAGGGGTGGTGGTCATGGGTGTGGAGGTCGAGGCCATAGATACGAGAGTTGCCGAGGCCGTCACTAGTTAGTTTGACCTAGCCGTGTACTTGCCCGTAGTCCTACCAATGTAGTGACTCTTCTAAACCGTGTGACTTCACCGCTAAAGGTTCCGAACATGGACATTCGAGCTTCGAACATCGGGCGGTTCCTTCGAACGGACGGGACATCGGGCGGTTCCCTCGAACGGACAGATAGCGCGTCGACCGGACTGACTTAATGTACTGTCGCATCGACCGTAAATCGCGTTTTCGGTGGGTAGGTGAGCTAAGGGCTCATCAGCGTGATCCTCCGCCGTCGTAGGAGGAGGTGGTGCCATAGACTTGGCGAGAGTCGAGTCGTAGAACGAGGTCGTACCACTTCTCCATCGTGTCAGGAGGGTTCTCGATGTTGAGCATCTTTCCTAGAAGCTCCGGACGCACGGCAGCCTTAAACAACCCAGCAAGGGTTTTCTCGTCGGTGACGTTGCTTTGGCAGCGAGGGTTCGGAACTTCGGGACAAAGGCTATCGTTGGTGTCTTCCCTGCTTGGTCTTTATCAGGAGCATGAGGGCCTTGTCACCCTCAGCGTAAACGGGGAAGGCTTTCTTGAAAGCTTCTTGAAGTCGTCCCAGGTGGCGAAGCGGTGCCTATGCTCAGCGACTGCCTTCTCTTCCTCGTGGAAGTGCTGTTCTTCCAGTAAACGCATCACTCTGCTGTCAATGAGAGTGACTGCATAGGCGATCTTCCTTTGATCGTCGATCGTGTCGTTGTTCGTGGCGCTGAAGTACGTGTCCAGGCGCCTCAAGAAGGGTGCGACATCGTCGGGCTTCCCTTCGAATTCCTTCGGTGCGCGGACTGCGAGTTTCGTGGAGGCGGATTGTAGTCGCGCAATCTGGGCCTGCAGGCCTTCGATCTCGGCATCTCGGTTGGCCATCTCGTAGGATTCTGGTTCGTGTTTCGGTTCGGGTTCGGGTTCGTATACGATCTCCGGTACGTTGGGAGATGGTGATCTGGTTCCTTTACAGAGGAAGCAGATTCGTGTCTCGAGAGCTCGCGCTGGATAGCAGCTGGAGTGTCTGGTCTCGGTCGTTCGTCGTGGATCTTCTTGACTAGCTTGGCAGCTCGTCCATTGGTGTCAAGGAAGGTCTGTGTCAACTTCTGTCTGTCTGCAGCTGAGACGTCGGTAGGGAGGAATGACCACGCGGGTTTCTTTCCTTCTTCTTCTGGGGTTCGAACGAGGACACCGGCGTAGGTGTCTACTCCGTCTTCAGTCTGCTTGTACTCGAAGACTCGGAGGTCGTCGTTCCAATAGAGGTTCGCTAGGTCCGGTAGCCCGTGACGTCTGGGCTCGACCTGTACTCGGTAGTCCGTGATGTCTGCGGAGCCCCAATGCGATGGGCTCCAGGGAGATAGTGGGTGGAGGTGGGTATGCTCTGCGTCTGAGCAGACGGAGCGTAAAGATCAGTTCGACCTTATGTTACGCGAAGCGTGACACCCTGAGCACTAGCTCACAACCTAACCCTTAAACTCGGGTCTTAGGCTGTTCGATCGTTCTTGCGGCGGTAGAGGATGGTTCGAGGACACTGCTAAGCACGTCTAGCAGGTCGAGCGGGGTGTCGTTCACACTCTGGAGTATCGCAAAGCGGAATGCTTCTATAGATCAAACCAGGTCGAACTGAGGGTTCGACCGCTAAAGTACACAGGCTTATATACATGAGGAGTTCAGGGCAGGGCCCGGGAAGAGTCAGGTATAGCAAGCCAATCAGAGACGAGAGGGGGAGGGATGAGTCACTACGAGTCAGGGGGGTGAGTCATACCGAGTCAGAGGGAGTCATAACGAGTCATGGAGTGCATGTGATAGTCCGGGTAACGCCGGACCGGGTACAGAGTGAGCCGGATGCCGAAGGCGCGTGCTCGTGTGAGGTTGCGCTCACATTAGTATAGTACAAGTCGACGAAGAGAAATAAAATCAAACGGACGTTGTCGTAACAGAAATGACATACACAGTAGGGATGAGCACCTCAGGATACACAATATTGGCAGTGTTAGTGTTGTCTTGGTCTACAGGAAATAGGACTTTGATCCTGTCTGCAGATGTACATCTGGAAAGAGCAACATAGAGTTGACCATGACCAAAGACTGCTGTACGCAGATCAAGTCCAACATTGACCACTGACTGCCCTTGAGCCTTATTGATAGTCATAGCAAAGGCAAGACGAACAGGGAATTGTCTTCTGCTCAATGGGATTGGCAAATCCTCAGCTGATGGTTCAATGCTAATTCTGGGAATGTAGACTTCCTTGCCACTATGAATGCCACCCAAAATTCGACATTTCAGGACCCTTTGCTTGATGTCCATGAGAATCATTCTTGTCCCATTGCATAGTCCATTTCTGGGATCAAGATTTCTCAAGAGCATGAGAGGACACCCTTTCTTTAGCTCAAGCTTAGACAATGGAAGGCCTGACACATTGATAGAGTTGAGATATTCAATAGGATAATGGATGTTCTCATCTCCAATGACTTTGTCTGCAGATGCCAATGTGACTTTCTCCCCTGGGAACTTATCCAAAACAACAGAGTTGATATGATCAACAGCATCATTTTTGGAAGAGAGGATAGTTCTCTGCAGGAAATACTCATCAGGCTTCTCACCCTCACTGAGACCTGGGTATAGAGCATTTATCAAGCCATCCAAAGTGTTGGACTGGAGCTTCATGTTCTGGGGCAATTGGATTGTCTTTTGTGGAGACACATTGCTTCCAGCACCAACTTTCAGAAGCCACTTTGCAAAGTCTTGGCTGGCAGGACTGTTCTCTAATCTCATGTTCTGTGTCAAGTGAAGCACCTGCATATGTCTCCACAAATGTGACCTGCGCAGGGAAGCAGCCACAATATGAGGTCTGGAGCCTTTGAAGACAACAGGAAGAGTCTGCCGAAAATCTCCACCAAATACTACAGTGATGCCTGCAAATGGTACATCCTTGTCCAAGATCTCACGCAAGGTTCTATCCACTGACTCAAATGCATGTCTATGCTGCATAGGGGCCTCATCCCAAATTATCACTCCAGTTTGGTGAAGAACTCCATGTAGCTCACTGTCTCTCTTAATGCGGCATGTTGAAGTCTCATGAATAGGGATGGGAATCTTAAAGCATGAGTGTGCTGTTCTCCCACCTTCAAGCAGTAGAGCAGCCACTCCAGAAGATGCCACACAAAGTGCAACTTTTCCCTGAGATCTCACAGTAGCAGCAATAGTATTGCATACATAGGTCTTGCCACAGCCACCTGCACTGTGAAGGAAAAACATCTTTCCCTGATTCAAGTTCACAGAGCTTATGACAGCATCATATGCAGCAGATTGCTCAACATTGAAATGGCCAACATTAGCCTCAGCTTGCTCCATGAGTGCCTCATAGTCATAGTCAAGCTCATGTTGCAAAAGAGGATTCTCAGCAATAGCTCCCCAAGGATGCTCAGGCATAGGCATGGGAGGAAAATCAGTTAGCTGTTTCCCAGACTTGAGAAGAATCTGATTGAGCAGATATAGCCCATAATCCCACACTTGATCCTCAGTAGGCTCAGCATAGCCAATTGCTATCAGCTTATGGCTCAGATCATCACATATCCCAGCTCTGAACTCATGCCATAGATCCTCAGGCTTGAGTGGATGAGAAAACAACAGAATGATTGCAAATAGACTTCTCAATGAAGAACCTGTCCTGAGCTGTGTAGCTTCTCTTAGGCATTGTCTCCATTCACCATCATCTTCCAAGAGACCTCTTGCAAGGCATGCATCCTTAAAAGTGGGATAATGGGCACCATCAAATGAGTAGAGATCATTCCAGTTTGTAGCACCTTTGACCACAGTCAAGAGAAGACGAAGATAAAATCTCTCATTGGCTGATGGATGGACAAAGTGCATTCTCCCAATGGCAAAGCCTCTCTGCCTCACTTTCCACTTCTTATATCTCTGATCCCAAACAAATCTCTCAGGGAAGTTCTGATAGAGATGGTTCTTAGCATCCTCCAGCTCAGCATTGGCCTTGAACCACTCAGTGAGCTGGGTCTTGGATGATCTCTCTTCACCAACCACATCCTCAACCTGAGCATCTGACTCAAAGTATACAACCTGTTCATTTTTGAGATGAACAGGTAGCCTATAGACTGTAGGCTTTTCCTCATGCATAGGAAACTCAAAGATGTGCCATGCAGCCTCAACAGGACCAATGTATCTGGCATCCACATAATCCTTAATCTCATCCACTTGGCCAACTTGCAAAGTTGTCCTGTCATTGCCTGTCAAAAATTAGAAAAATGTATATGATGTATATGGATATATTCTCACCTTTGTAGATGTACTTGTGAATGTATTTGACAGCTTTCACTGATGCACAGACCTCCACATTGATGTGACAGTCAAACTCAGCCAACAGATGAGGGTTGTAAGGAACCACATCCTGATTTGTGAACACTTGGCCCCTAGAGTTTGTGAAACTCCTCCCATTATCAGGCCTGGCATAGACAGGATACCCATCATCACCAAAGATGGTGTCCTCACAAAAGCTCCTGGGAAATCTCTTAGAGCATGTATTGTTGTCAGACATGCAAGGTGCATTGGGATATCCAGCACCACATGGGCCATGTAGCATGCACTTGGTCACAGTTGCATACAACTGAGGATGTTTAACTGGGTCAGGTAGCTGAGCACAGACAATGCTGTCTACTTGAGAGGCATCATGGATCTTATGTTCTTCCTTGAAGAATATGAGAAGATGCATGTGAGGAAGACCTCTCTTCTGAAACTCAATTGTGTATACATCAGCAGCTAAGTTGCCAAAAAATCCATCTTTGATTTTTTTGAGCAGAGCTTGTTTCTTCAACTGAAAGACCCTTGCTACAATGTCTGGACGATCAGCTGCAGTCTGATGCTTAGCAGGATCATTCTCAGCAGAATTGATTTCCAAAAGTGCTTCCTGAATCTCAGGCCAATTTGGATTGGCAGTCATAGTTAGGAACAGATCTGGCTTCTTATTCCTCCTACATATGGCCATTGAATCCTGAAACAGTTGGTACATATGCCTTGAACTCCCAGCATGAGAGGATGGCAGTATGAGTCTCTGTCCTTGTTGACCCATATTCACTTGTTCATTTTGTTGATCAGCCTGATTCATTGCATCCAACAGTCCTTGGTATAGCTCAGCTCTTATGGTTTTCTGATTGTGCCTAATCCAGTTCAAATTAGAAGCCTCAATTGAAGCCCATGCATCCACCAAGTACTGTTGAAACAGACGACCTCCTCTGAACAGATAATCAAACTCATTGTTCTGAAGCAGCCTGGGATGAATCCTATATGCAAAGTAGCATCTCTGAGAGACATTGGCACTTCTCACTCTGTTATCTGGCCCTGGTATAGATGGTATGTTCATGTGCCATCCTTGATCCCCTCTTGGGAATAACATGACATAGTGGAGTGGGAGGTATAGAGGATGCAAGTTGCTCACTCTCTTCAGTCCTCCACCTTGTAAACGCAGGACAATATCTCTGTGTTTGTCAATATCCTCATCTCCAGAGCCAGGTATAACTGCAGCTACTTCCTCAATAGTAGGAAGATTGTATCTCCTTTTATCTGCAGATGCCTCTAAGATAATGTGGGCCTCAACATGCACTTGCTCATTGGCTGGCTTCTCTCTTATGATCTGATATGCTTGCTTATAGAGAGGAATGAGGGGGTTGACTTGCATGAGAGCATCCTGAATATCTGACATGACAGAGGCCATGACAGCCTGATCCCTATTATTATTCTCAGGATTGTTTGCAAGCCTTGACTGCAATGCTTCAGCAGGGTCATGGATATACAGCTGGGCATATCTGGGAGAAACACCATCCTGAGGCATGAGACTACCCATGAGATGGTATAGATCCCCATGTATTCTGAAAGAGTATGGCCCAGATCCCATCAGAACAGCTTGATCAATATTAACTGCCACTGAGGTAAATGCAAATGCAGCATTATAACGTCTTATGTTTTTCAGGAAGTGAGCTGAGCGATTATCTACACCATTGAACAACCTCTGCAAGGGCAATGGAGGTATGGTGGGTGGGTCAAGCTGTACCTGACCCTGCAGACAACATATGCCAAATTTGGGATGAATAAGAGAGGAATTGCTCAATTTCTCTCCTTTGAAGTGAAGGGCTTTACAGTTGGGACATTCAATATTCATGGCCCCAATACTCTGTTTAACAACAGGTTCTGAGTATGGCCTTCTCCCCTTAGGAAGTTGCTGGATAGCCTGAGCTTCATTTGCCTCATGTTGATTAACCTCAAGTAGATGGTCTACTTGCTGTTGGTAGACATGGGCTTCATGTTGTTGCTGTTCAACATGTTGTAACTCATCATGCTCATGGATTTGCTGCTGCTGTTGCTGTTGCTCATGATCTCTCTGCAATTGATGTTCACCATGAGCAATGAATGCCTCTTGAGACTCAGCATGTCTTTCATCCTGTCTCTGTCTCTGTTGTTCATCATGGGCAGCAGCCTCCTGTTGGTGCTGAGCCTGTCTCTCAAGCTCTCTCAGCCTCTGTTGCTCATGATGGGCAGCAGCCTCTTGCTGGTATATGGCTTGCCTGTCAAGCTGTCTTTGTCTCTGCAGCTGTTCATGATTAGCAGCCTCCTGAAGCTGCTGAGCTTGAATATTCTGCTGAGGAACATTTGCTTGAGCTGTATGTTCTACAGCCAGCATATGAGATTGTCTCTGATTTTGTCTATCAGCAACTCTTTGAGCATGACTCCTATTTGTGTTTAGCTCAGCCTCCTGCAAGTAATTTCTCCTGGGAGGCAATCTCTGACCATGTGCCCAACCCAAGTTAGAGGGGCCAGCAACATTTCCCTGTGCATAGCCAATATTTGAAGGCCCAGCTACATTTCCCTGTATGTGCTCATGATGTGAAGGGCCTGCATAAACAGCATTATAATTTCCAGGAGCCTGGTAGCCCAGTGGTAAATTTTGAGGCATATAGCCTGCATTGTACATCCCAGTTGGGTATGGATGCCCAGCATTATGCATCCTAACATTCCCAGCATTATACACCCCAGTATTTCCAGCATTATACATCCCAGTAGGGTATGCCTGTGGATAGCCTGGATTGTCTCTTACAGGCATATCCTCTCTTAGCTGGAAAGCATGGCCCAGTTGAGGCTCATGTGCATGGCCAATCTGAGGTCCATGTGCATGTGGTCCATGTTGAGGATCCACAGCAAACTCAGGCTGTCTCACTGAGAGGTTTAACCTCTGCCTCTCTCGGCGCTCACTGGGAGAAGTCATTTGACGACCCTCACGCTCCTGCTCTCTCTCATGCAGTCTCTGTTGCTCAGGAGGAGTGTGAGGAGAAAGTCTGTCATGCATAAAAAAATTAGCCATCTTGAGTATAGAATTTTTTGAACTCACTGATTCTCTCTCTGTGATATGTGAGAACTTATCAAATGCTCAGTAGAGCCATCATAAGTACAGAACAGATGTTTACTCACTGGTCATCTCTCTGTTGCTCATGAATATGAGGATTTCTGTGAATTGTTTAGCCATCTGTAGTGCAGATATATGATTACTCACTCATTCTCTATCTGTTGCTCAGGAATGTGAACATTCCTGAGATGCATAGTTTAGCCATATACAGTTCAGACATTATGATCACTCACTCATTGTCTCTCCCATTGTGTCTCTGTGGCTCAGGAGCATGAGGAGGATTTCTAAATTGCATAGATTAGCCTTATTTGATTTTAATTATCTGTTTGCTCACTGATTTGGGTGCTGATTCATGACAGATACACTGAATTGTGGTTGTTACTACAGGATTGGCTCGAAAAAAGCGAAATACACACCTGTGCAGGTACAGACAGAGTCAGAGATGGGGGAGAAAGCAAGTCGTCGCACAGAGGCTGTGATCTTAGATAAGATCGCAAGATCGCGCGCTCATCGAGGCGGTGGCACTGGATCGCTTTGGCGCCCTAACGGACGACCGAGGCAGCGGACGATCAGTGGGCCATGCGGCGAACGTGGACGCCATGTGCGCTCCATGTGCGTTTCTCGTGGGCGTACGCGAAAAGCCACGCGAGTTACGCGCGCCACAGCACCACCCTCGTCCCACTCCTTTTAGATAGCCGCCGTTTCGCGGCAAGTCCATCGTCAGATCCAGTCGAAGCCCGCCCTCGGCTGGCGATGCCCGAAGCAAGACGACTGTCCGCACTAGAGGCACTCCAGCGAAGGGAGGCCGTATGTTCCTATGCGTACCAGCGAGTCGGTCGCAGGCGTGTGTTCCGTCGCGTAGATGTCGGAGAACCCGACCCCTTCCCCTAGCTGCGACACGATGGCCACGCCCCTCGCGTGGTCCTCGTCGGCATGGGAGGTCTCGTTTGCCACTGAGTACCTTCCCCCGCGTCTCCATGAGCCCATGCGACGTACGGTACATGACGGCGGCGGGCCGCTCCGTCGTACTCCGGCCACCGAAGGGGTTAATCCTCGTGATCCTCCTTCACGAGCACCCGGCGAGCTGCGTCGCTCCGTCAGCGACCACAGTAGCGCAGGAAAGTGGATGCAGCGAAACTCACCATGAGCACGGTCTCGGAGTCTATCAACGCGTTCGCTTCAAAGGGGTGCCGCCGAGGAGTATGGGAGTAGGAGGGCTTCATCCCTGAGCTGAAGCGCGCAGATCGCGTCCTGCGAGCCATCCTCGCTGTCGTGGGGATGTCCAGCGGAATCCCAGCGCAGCCGCCCGCCCAACCATGGACCCGTCGGCGATCGGCTCGTGACCGGAGTGGTAGGTAGGTGCTGCGTCGAACGCGGCTGATGTCGTGGTGCGAGCTCCCGGTTGTCCGATGGAAGGATCCTCGGTATGCTCTGCCCGCCGTGCACGATGGTACTATGGCACCCTCTACAGCGGATCGCGCCGCCACACGAGCTGAGGGGCGGAGAGACGTTAGGTCCAGGAAGGGATGACGACGATGAGGAGACGGCGTACGAGTGTGGGGTGCTGGACGGCTGTCACTGGCGCTGCTGACCGCAGGCATGTTCATCAGCCGGTGTCTGTGGGCTGGTTAAGAGGAATGGTACGACATGGGAAGCGGGCGGTAGTCGTAGTCTCAAGTGATCATCGAGTCGAAGGCGGTTGAGATCCACCGGGACGTGGGGTATTTATACCTCGACGGCTAGGCCCTAGGGTGTTGTCAAGTTTGCAACGAACGTGGCTTTGTCGTCTTTGTTGGAGGGCGATCTCGATGCACCACGGCTCATGCGCCGATCAGCCCCTCGGTGGTCGATGGATGTCCTGTGGCATCGTGAGCCAAAAGTAGTGAACTAAATGAGGCCACGCAGTACCGCTGACGCTTTGACTGACCATGCCAGCTGTGATTAGGCGGTGAAGAGCCGACCGGGATGGCACAACGCCTTAGCCTGGGTATTGAAACGCTGAGACGGTTGTGCTTTGGCTGAAACGAGGAGACGGGGGTTCAAAGAGTGGCGAACACGTTGACAAGTGACGTACCTGAGCATGACCGTCTTTGGCCTCCGTTGCTACGCGTCCTTGTCTCTGGACCACCGGCCGGCTCTCCCTGCGCATATATGCGGACACGCTACGCGCAATAGCTAGACATCACGCGCTCGATTATACTCCGCCCGTGGCTGTCGGTCGATGGCATGGACTTCCCGAATATCCGACTTTCGTCCCGCATGTTGCCATTCTTCCTAGATTAACCAACTCGCAGAGCGTTATCCGCATCCGCCGCCAATGATGGGCATCCTCCTCGGCACAGACCATAGGGATTTCTGGTGATGCCGCAGCGCAGTGGTGGCGCTACTCGCACGCTGCGTTTGTGAGTCTGCCGCGTGTCCGTCTTCACTCATCGTCATATTCATGCGATCGTTACAGTTCTGTCTCCTACACCACTCGTCGGAGCTGCCGGCGGTCCAATGCCAACATGCATCGATGAACCTCGCACATGAAGGACGAGGAGGGAGACACTGCAGAGCCAACCATGCGTGGCGAGGCTGGCTCGGCGGTACATTTGCGGGAGGAGGGCATTGACGTCGTTCCTAGTACCTCGGTAGGCAGTCCTACACTGACTTCCTTGATTTCAAGCGTGCGCGTGAACCCTTCCTTTGCGCAGCGCGGACAGTGAGCAAGCTGCAGAGGCGCGGGTGGGTCGTCACTCGCTCGACGAAGCCGTAGAGAGTTGCTCACAGCACCGAAGAGACGGAGACGAGACGGACACGTCATCAAGCAGTGGCAAGCACGCACCGCTAATTGCACAAGGCGCGCAATTCCAGGATCGACCACTGGTTCCAGTCTGGCAGTACTTCGTGTCCCTCTCGTCAACTCGCGTCTTGTGGCTGCCTCCCGACTTTCGTGACCCCTCCGGGAGAGTCCTCCTGCTATGGGTACGTGGGTTGCGAGGCGTGCTGCAGTTGAAATAGTCGGTCGACGGTAGTGGATGGAGAGAATCTGGCGTGGGTGAGAGGTCCGAGTCGCCGACGCGTCTGTGGCTGCCAGATCGGGCAGCGATCTGATCAGTCTCGCAAGCCTTTGTCTTCGGTCCACCTCGCGCATTCTGTTCTGACACTCATCCGCTGCTCTTGTCGGTATGCAATGCTAACTAGTGCACATCAACCATCAGAGCGCGCAGCATTGTCCAGGTTCGTCGTCCATACCGTACGGTCATGAAGCGGGTGTGGACCACGGTACGATCCTTACTGGGATCTAATTCCTGAGCATATGCGCGTTGCTCGGTGGGCGAGCCTCCTATTGGTATCTAGTCGACAGTGAGTAGTCTCGTCGACATAAGTTCGCTGAAAGATGTCTAGTGTCAGCACGATGCATGGAGCCGACGCGACCCGCTAAGACCGGGCCCGCCACCAACAGCGACTCGTACTAGGCATGGATTTTTCTGGCGTTTTACACCTCCAAGCTTGTTGCCCCGCTTCTGTATCGTGTCCTCGCCGACGGCGCGCGTCAGAAGAAACCATGTCCCTCGCACGACGTTACTCTGGACGTCAGTCGGCCTGTCGCCTGTCTGCTTTGAGCAGTGTGAGTCGTCCGATCTACCTTGCGTCCTCTCGGCTGCTGATACCCGCCAACAGCCGACAACATCCTAAACTAGGCGACTCATCCTCGCGACACCACTCCATTCGCGCCGAACATAGTTTCCAATCTCCGAAAAGGATCAACATGTACGCCGTCTCGTACATCGAAGTAAAGACGACATCCTGGCTTGGAGCCTGCTCACGCACGCCGGCATCATCCTGTCTTCCTAGTATCTCGATAGTCGGCCAACTAACGGGACGTGTAGGCTACGGAGGCCGCTGAGTTGCGTGGTCGTGAGGACCGGCCCTGACGTTGTACAGTCAACTGGACAAAGCTCTCCGTCACTGCCTAGCCATCACGGGAACAACTGGATATCATTCTTGATTACTGCAACGACTACGATTGTCCGACGATTACGACTGGACAACGGCCCCCAGCACCTACAACCACCTCGATGAGGCGGCGTACACCACCGATTCTGTGGCGAGATGGTGGATATCAGCGGAGGTGTACTTGGTGTGGCACGAGACTAAGGACCAGCTACCTAGTTTATGGAGCCCGTTCTTCTCGAAGAGAAGTGCCACTATACTGCTCCGTGGATGCTTCAATGACTTGTGGCTATCTATAAAGGGCATTTGGACGAGAATGTTCACCATCCAGGATGTCCCGGATTCGTACGACGGTAACCTGTAACGCTTTGTCGCCGGCTTCTTGCACGTTCTGCAATGCACCTACAGCAGGTGTGGTGCATTCTTGGACAGGGCGGTCATTCAACTGGTGCGCTTCGCGTAGGGGAGACCTCCCGCGTGAAGCATATGAGTCGTCTGACTAGTACCTGTCCGTGGAGACAGACCCAGACGCGCTGAGGTGTGGCTCGACTGGTATCTTAATGCTTCTACGTACAACTGACCAGCCGTTTCGCTGACATACATGTACAGTGCCAGGCTTGTAAACGCGACTTTTGTCGAGCCATGACATCAGCAAACTCCTTCGGCCATGGACGTTGAACAAACACGCCAAGAGGCCCGACCTCGTTGCAGTTCAGTGTTTAGCTATGCTATTCAAGTTCCAGTCAAGGAACCTTCCACGAGCGACCGCATCAGGTAAGCACTGTCGCACTCATCTGTCAGTGGATCAGATATGCCCTGTTGATGTCCGAAGATGACTTTACCAGTGTCCAGGAGACGCGGCACGAGATGAAGGCCTGCGTCCGGTCCGATCGGAGCAGGGCCCAGCGCATCGGACGCCGCAGGGAAACGAGAATCTCTCAGGATGGTCAAGGTCGTATCATCATGGTAAGCACAGTAATCTTACCCCGATGCGCTCCCAATCCATCATAATCTCAGGCTGACTCGGTCCGCACGGGCACGCAGGTGCGCCTACTACATTCAGCTGGCCCCCGCCTTCGACAGGGCTGTGGCGCCCTGAAGGGTGCCGTGAAGCTCGCCACGGTCGACCGTTCCGACCACACGCAGTTTGAGTTATGCAAATCCATCGGCGTCATGTCCTTCCCGTAAGTAGCATCAGCCTGTCGAGTGTCGTATTGTGGATTGACGGTTTGAGATCATCTGCTAGAACACTGCAGGTCTACCATAACAGCGCGTTCGCCACGCACCCATTTCCACAGCATGCACGTATAGCTACAATTCTACCACTGGGTGAGAGGGAAACCGAGAGTGTATGTACCCGCTAGTTTTGTGCGACTGACCCCTTAGTTCCAGTCACTTGCGAGCAAGCCCCTTTCCCAAAGGTGGCCGACCGCCCGCGCAGCTGGGAATGCGGAAGACTCGCACATGCACGTCCACTTGCTTCCATAGCATTCTCCTGCGTACGTGACACGAGGTCTCGGTCCTAGTTTTATCCTTATTCAGCGCTCAGCACTCGCATCATGTTTTTGGGGATTCGATACTCGTCGACGCAGTTGCCGTGCGATTGAGCCACGAAGAATCTATGCGACAGCATGCATCCCGTAGAGGAAGCGTGCAACAGGTCGAGATGACTATGAGTCATGACGGCGGGAAACTGGGATCGAGTCAAATCCTTGAGGGTCGCTTACGAGCCATGATAACTGAATGGGCACGGAAAGATAACGTGTGCCATGTTGATGATACAGGAGTCGTGCAGAAGCATCTTGCTCGTTGCTGAATGCCTACTGGGCACGATAGGTGTGCTTCGGCATACATGACCTTCTCTGCGCTCACGAAATGGACAGGCTCGCGTTTCGGCGCTGTGCAAACGACTCAAGTGACGACTTCAAGTAGATGCGTCTTTGTGCGGTCTCAAAGCCACAGGTAAGTACGTCGATAGTCAGGTCGTCCAATATCACTGGAGAGTGATCCCTATACTCAGCTTGGTCGCAAATGCTCCCGAGCGATCCCTTGCAGGTAGCGCTACGCATAATGCATGAACGGCGACATACGGTCTGACTGCGCGGGCTACTGTTGTACCAGGCTACCAGCTATCGACTGAACACTCTCCCTCTGTCTACTTCCGTGCTTCGGTCGGTGTCTCCGTCAAATTCAATGGCCCTGCCACCATGTTGGGCCGCCACTCTGCACACTCCGCTGCACCGACTCGCAAACTGGATGACTCGGAGGTTCCGTGAGCGCAGATCGTCAAGCCGATTCGCGCATCGCACGTCCGCCGCTCGGGCTTAGACTGCATAGTGGTGAGTCTCCGCTATCCATTCGACTCGTTCGTTACTCATTTCCCAGTCCACTTCACAGGATATTTCACGCGACCTCGCTTGGGCCGCGGCGAGACGTCTCAATCCCTGTCGAGAAGCGAACCTCCCGTGAGTATTCCGCAAGTACTGGGGCTGTCAAGATTCGTCGCCGCCGAGGAGGCGTTCTCGCAGCTGGGGGCGCAGAAGGAGTCGTCTTTGCGTCTCTGTTGTGTGCCCTCGAACGACCCGTGGCCGGCTCCGCTACCGAGAGACATCGCACAAGGGCAATCCGGGCGTAATCACTGCGCGAAGTTGGGAGGATTCGTGTGCGTCCCTCACGCGCACGCGCCGCCTCGCCATGTCAATAGTAGTAGAGACCCCAATATATCTATTCATCGCGACTATACTACGTACAGGGCCTCCGTACCTACGTAGGGCAGCAATCGAGGGAGCGATGCGCACGACACGCCGGTCGCCCGCCGTCGTATCCGGCGTGTACACAACGAAAGTGTTCACCTTGCAACCAGTGCACGGGCACTCCGCCGAGTGTCTGTGCCCATCGATGCCGACGTCGAGAGACGTCCATCGTGGCATGCCCGCTGGCACTGATCACACCACACGGCGAGGGCGTGCATGTCCCCTCCGGTCCCGCCTCCGCTGCTCACCGCCGTCCCTAGCCCTCCGCTCACTGCCCGCGTCGTGACGAAGCTGCTCCCTGCCTCGCCATCCATTCCAATGAGCGAGTAAGTATCCGAAAATTGATCGTTACGACACTCACCTCACCATTCCTCGCCGCGAACATGGAATGCCGTCCGCGGCGCACACTGTACGCGAGAAGGCTGTCAGATGGTGAATGGTGACCGTCTCGCAATCTACAGCCTGTCCCGATCGCGTCCTCCCTGTGTAGCCCGAGACGTACCGTTACGCGCCGGGTCCGTCGTCAACTTCACCGGGACAAGCTCGACGTAGAGAGCCTCGTCCACGCTGCCCGCCCTGCCATGCACGGGTGATCAGTGCAGAGAGACAGCCCACTCCTTACAGCAGAGAGGACGCCTTCCCCGCGCCGCAGCGCCTGCTCGGTAGCTCAGGAACATTCGCGTCCCACGTCCGATCCACGCGTAGGTGCGACCATCGAGTAGTGTCCGGATCGAGTCCGTGGCATCCGTCCGTCTGTGTCTGTGGCACTGACGTCGTTCGCAGCGACACGCCAGGCGCGTCGCCACCTCGCTTCCGCGGACACGGTGCACGATCCGAGTCCGAGCAGCGCTCCGGAACGGCGGCGGCCTGCCGTCGTAGTGACAGAGGCCGCGGGTGAGCGAGGTGCAAGGGCGAGAGCTGCGGCCGCAGGGAAGCCCATCGGTGAGCTGCACGCCGTGAGATGTGCCGAGCGTCGGGAGTACTAGCAGACGGACTCACCGCGCGAGCATCCAGAACGCGTCCATGCGTCCGTCTGCGGCAACCGACGGGGCTGCCATCCATGCCAGGCGCGACGCCACGCTCGCTCGCTTCCGCGGACGTCGCCCGGAAAGGCGACGGCGACTCGGCTGCTGCTGTCCCGTCGCTGACGAGCGCCCGGCCAGGCGAGGTACATAAAGCAGAGTCCTGTGGACGTAGAGCGGCATGGTGAGTTGTGTCCTTCCCGCGGTAGAGCGTGCACAGTACTAACCACCCGTCTTACAGATTGGAGCCCTCGTCGCAACGGGTGAGCAGGCCGTTCGTCGACGGGCAGTGTCTGCGAGCCGTCGCGAGTCGGCACGTCTGTCGCCGTCGTCGGCAGCACCGGTGTTGGCGGGAGCAGGTGAGTTTGCTCGAGGTTCGATGCCGCCTTGCAGATCGCTGATGATGTCGACCCCCCGCAGACCGTAGACGACTGCCGCGTCGTCCCGGGACGGTCCCGATCGCTCGCGGCGGGAGCGGAGGGGCACGCTGGCACGGTCGTGCGTGAGCACGACGGGACGGGCTCTGACGTGGGCGGTGCTCGTGCTAGCTGCGCGCATTGCAAGGGCGGTCAGGGTTGCATGTAGACACCCGCAGGAGGCTGCCCTGCGCTGTGGACCGTCTCGGATAGTTAGTTTAGTGTACTCACGCGTGTTCCATGTGCTGCGGGCGGTTGAGGTCGGCGTAGACGACCGACTCGAGTGGAGCGTATCGCAAGAGGGGTTGACGGATGAGTGGAGATCGCACAGAGGCGAGGATGATGGCCAGAGAACGCTGCCGGGAATCGAGGGTGCGCTCTGAGCCGAAGACGGTGTGAGGCACTTGGTGAACGAGACGGTGCAGGGCACACGGGCTGCAAGAGCGAAGCTAGTGTTAGAGAGGATGCAGGGGTTGCACGTAGACTCGTACCGCACACTGTGTCGTGCAATACGCACCTTGCCCATTGCTCGTTGAAGTACATGGACGGGAGTCATCCGTGTCACCTGCACGATAGAGCAGTGTTTGAGGAGCTGCGCGGGCGAGACACGCTAGCAGACGCAAGCACTGTGCTTCTGGTCATCGCGAGGACGAGAGGCGGCGAAGGAGTGTGCAGGAGAGGACGGCGGGCGCTTGTTGCACATCGCCGCAGAGAACGGCGTGTAGGGAGCGGTCCGGTGCACAAAGTCGGTCTCAACGAGCGAGAGAAGGGTGGTACGATGCTTGAGCATCGCGTGGTGATGCGCAGGCGGGTTCGGCGCGGGGGAGGGCGGAAGCAAGTCGGCGATGAGAGTTGGGGAGACGGGTTTCCTCGATGAATGCGCGCGATTGAAGAAAGAAAAGATAAACCGTGGACCTGTGTGGACCCGAGAAAGACGGCGTTGGGGGTGTCGACGGACACGTCTCGGCTGCGCGCATGAGCGCAGGGCAGCGGGACACGGGGCCGGAGCGCAGGGAAGGGAAGGGCGGGGGAGAACGACGGCAGCGGGATGGAGACAGAGAGAGCAGCCAGCGAGAGGAGGAGGAGGAGGGGATTCCATTGAGTCCTCACGGCTGCGTGCCATAAGGCTCGCCACGTGAGTCAGAACGCATCGTGCAGCAGCGACGAGAGTCGTCAGATAGACGCCCAGACACGGCGCGCCGATCGACTCGGATGACACGACTGGGAGCGGTCGTCAGTCCCGCTGAACGCTGACAGGCTGCGTCCCTCTGCAGCAGCAGTCGACCACGGATGACTGGTGCACAAATGTGCCAGGCTGGCTGCGTCGCAAGAAGCCTCCGTACTGCAAACCGCCATCATCCAATTAGATGACCTATCAAGCGCACAATGTCCCGGGCTGATGGACGCAAGATCTTAGAATCGCCGCCGCGGTATCCCAGGTCCGTGCATACAAGCGTATAAAAGGCGAGATATGCCTGCCGTATCCCTCAGCTCCTCTTCTCCTTCCGAGCTCACCGAGCAGGTTGCCGGCAAGTGAGTGTCCAGCAACGATGGTAGTTTGAATGTTAGACTTACCTTGCACCTCTCTAGCCTCGCTCTTTTTGACGACTCACGTCCCTGATTCCCTTCCACCAAAATCCTTCGTAACGACCCCAGTGCATACAAGACATCATGCGTTACTGTACGCTCGCCTCCGCCGTCCTTTTGGCAGTGGCCGCAGCTCCCGCGCTCGCTCACCCGATCACCATGTGAGCGGCTCGTTGCACATTCTTATCCCACGACTGAGCATACAATGATAACAGTCGCGCGACTGAGGATGCCTCCATGGTTGAGCGTGAGCTCCAAGACGGACTGGTGGAACGCGGCTGCTTCGGCGACCTTCTCTGTCGGACGCGCAGCGCCAAAAAAGCTTCTACGAAGCCTAAGCCGCCGCCGAAGAAGAATAAGCCAAAGGTCCCGGTCAGATTCGGAGTACATCGTGCGATTAACCTACATTTGGATATGCCTTCGCCAAGCGTAGTTCACCCCGACTCGGACTCGCACATTCCAGGACGCACAACGGTATATATGTAACGGTGTAGACACTGAACCGGTGATGCAATTTGGTACAGTAAGTAGTGCACACTGCAAATGTCCGGTTTTCTTGTTGCACGCGCGTAAGGCCACGGTTCACGTTCAAAACGCGGACACGGCTCCGCCATGCCCCACTCGGCCCGGGGCAGACGCCCGAACACACGGTAACGATATTGGCAACATGCAGTCCAACCTGCGCTAACTTAACTTGCTACTTATCAGCCTGACAGTGAGAAATGGTTACCCCCCACTGGCCGTATCGCTCGAGTGAACAAGTTGCCGTGAGCCCTCGGCTTCAACGTCCCAACCAAGATGTCGGGCACACTGAATCTGGATACGGCTGTGACGCTCCCCTCCGGTACGTGGCCCTATACATGGCTGCTGGCGTGCTTGGATCGAACCAGAGGACGGACGGACAGGTCACACCATGCCCCTGTTGGGTCTGGGAGTGTACCAGAACGACGACTGCGTTCCAGCGTGCCTCGCTGCGCTGAAGCATGGCTATAGGTGCGTGTGACCCAATGCCAACAGCGTTGATCCAGCCAACATATCTGATCCTCAGGCATATCGACTCGGCGCGTATGTATCGCAACGAAGCCCAAGTCGGGCAGGCAGTGCGCGAGAGCGGTGTACCCCGCGCAGAGGTCTTCGTGAGTGCGTTACAAGTGTTCACAGGACGCTGAGATCACATCCTAACGGCGTTCGAACTGGGCAGCCACCAAGATATACGATCCTGACCACGGGTACGAAAGCACGCTGAAGGCTGTCGACGAGTCTCTGCAGAGCTTCGGCTTCGGTCAGTCAATCAGTCAATAACCAGTCTTCTCACTCACGCCTCAGATCGTCAGACTACATCGACCTCTACCTGATTCACAGCCCCCTCTCCGGCAAGGAACGGCGCCTCGAGACCTGGAGAGCCCTCCTCGACGCCCAAAAAGCCGGCAAGGTCCGCACTGCTGGTGTATCTAACTAGTGCGTCCACCCCTTTGCCTCTGCACAACCTAACACTTACCACCATCACCCGGGGTCAGTGGAATCAAGCACCTCAAGGAGATTCGCGACGCCGGGCTCGAGACACCCGCGGTGAACCAGATCGAGGTGCAGCCGTTCTGCCAACAAGGGCCGATCGTCGAGTACTGCCGCAAGAACGGGATCTTCGTCCAGGCGTACTGCCCGCTCGTGCGCGGGAGGTTTGACGACCCCGTCTTACAGGAGGTCGCGAGGAAGTACAACAAGGACGGAGCACAGGTTCTCGTCAGGTGGTCGCTGCAACATGGGTGCGTTTCGCATCTTCATATCTCCACGTCTGTGTTTGCTTGCTGACATTGGCGTTGTTGTAGGTACAACCCGCTCCCGAAGTCGTCCCGCCCCGACCGCGTGGTCTCCAACGCAGCCGTGTATGACTTCGACATCTCGGGTGAGGACATGGCGAAAGTCGACGCCCTCGACAAGGGCGCAGCGGGCGCGACGAGCTGGAACCCAGTTGACGCGGAGTGATGGACTGCGCATCAATACGTCCCTGAGGGCAACAAAGGGTGAACGCAGAATGTATTACGAGATACGACTAATGTGGATCAAAGAAGAAACGTCCGCGCTGTGACCTCCATCGAACCCGCTGCCTTCATTACGCCCTCCACGCTCTCCACGTGTCGCGCAGCCAGGTGAGCCGCTGCACACTGAAGAGGCCCTGCCTCGTACCGGCGTCGACGTACTGCCTCTGCTCGAGCGCCAACGCTACCTGCACGATATCGACAGAACGGTGAGCACTTCCATTGGCTTCGAGGGGAGCGAGGAGCTACGTGCATCGCGAACGAGACTCTGCGCGTCCTCCTCGCGCAGCATGCACACGACCGTTGCGATGTGCACGCGCGAGAGCTCCTGCGAGGCCTGCACGAAGAGCGCGTGGAACACCGGCCATTCGTCGTCGGGGATCGTTACCGGCTGGTGTCGCCGGTCTGCAAGAGGCTGGAAGATGTCCGGACTGGGAGGCCGTTTCGTGGGAAGAGCGCGTGGGAGTGCGGCGTGGGGGCGGGGCGGGGATCGTCGCACGGCGGGCGTGGGGAGGTTACGTGCGGGCGCAGGGATTGGCTGAGGGCAAAAACACAACTGGCGCCCCAAGTCCAAAAAACGTCCTTTTTTCGGCCATAGTTCCGCCTCCCCGCAGGGAGCTCGCGCGTTATGGGGTGTCAAAACTTTTCTTGCCACGCGCAAACGGGTCCAGGTATGTACATGCTGATGAAAACAAAACAAAAAAAAAGCGAAGTCCAGCCCCGCCCCCTACGACTCGATGGCATCCACAGGTGCGTGTCCCTCCTCGTTCGCCAGTCCCCACGTGTACATACATACAACGAGTCAATACAACCACTTTGCCCGAGTACATGGTGATGTCGAACATGCACGACCTCGCCTGAGCAGATTGTCAGCGAACGCAGAAGACGGACGCACCGCGGGGACGACTCACGCGATGGCGAGGCATGGTTGGAAGCCCAGCGAGTCGACCACAGACCTGTGACACTCCCTCAGTGATGTTTGCTCGATGTTGCATCAGCGAACATGCAATGCGAACGCGCGGACGACGCAACTCACCGCGGACGTGGGTGTCTTGTCGTGAACGAGGGCGGGAGTCGACGCTGTTGTGCGGCAGAAGACCACTCGCCGTGCTGAAATAGTCCACATGTCGCTTTGTGTGCGGGGCTCCTGATGGTGTAGAAAGGCCGGAGAATGACGCGTCGTTCGTGACGAGACGGGCCGCCGACGAGCGTGACCAGTGGACTGGCTGCGTTTGCGGGCTCCTGAGTAGAGTACAAGGGGCATCACATTAGCCATCCGGGAGCATCGGGCAAAGTCAATAACAATACCTCGTGTGCGATTTTAAGACATCCCTCGCCGGACTTCGAGACATCGACACCGCGCGGCACGCGATCATTGAGCCGTGAAGCGCGACAGCGGTCGCAAAGGCCGGGATGCATTGCGTGCGCGCTGCCCACCTCAACTAGCAATGCACACGAGGCAGAGGACAGCGGGCCTCTTGAATGCGATGTTCAGTCAGTCTCCAGGAGTATCAGTGCATAGCTGATGTACCTCAGATGCAGCCCGGGGTGTTGCTCGCCGGACGTCGATACATATATACATTTCTGTTCCATGTACAACGTAAGTGTGTGTACCGCTAGATCACTGACAGAAGACACACCTGGCGCGACACGTCGGTCGCCGGACGTCGATACATACATACATTGCTGTTCCGGGCCAGCGCAAAGAGCGG